ATTTTCATGGCTTTTTGAGTTTTTCCCTTTCATTTTTTAAATCTCTTCTCAAATCTCTCAACTAAACATAGCATAAAGGTGGCTTCATAGATAACCTGTAAGTTTTTTTAATTTTTAATTCTGTTACTTTCTTACTTTAGTTCTTGTTAAAATTCACCTACTACACACCTACCACTACCACCTACTACACACTCACCTACTTCACCTACTCTCCACCTACTCCTCACCTACTCCTCACCTACTACACACTCACCCTCTTCTATATAGAGGAATCATGAATCATTGTAATAAAAATCAACATACAACAATCAATAATACAATCAATATCTATACAATTCTCTATTTTTCTTTATACATTAAATTTCTACAGTTCTTGGTCCTTTTTTTTTTCCCCCTCTGATTATAATACTTGTAGAGGTCATGTTGTGGAGCTAGCCTCTGCTCGGTGGTCTGAAGACCGTCTGTACAGTAACTTCTATTGTCCATTCATGTGTATTCAATCTCTGATTCTGTAATCAATTTTTGTGGTTGTACAAAACTACTGCTGAAAGTGATCATCACATTGTTTATTTATTTATTTATTTATGCGTGTGCAAGGAAGTTGATACAACAGAGACGCGAGCTATGAGTTCACTGACTGAAGATTGAAGTCGAGCTTTTGGCACTTGTTCCTTAGGCAATCTTTGTATTTTTGAAGGATTATAATATTAACTTGATAAATATTGGATGTGTAATTATTATGGATTCTATGTTTGGAAGAATTGCATTCTTCTTTAGGGAACTATCTATCTGTACAGTGGCTAGTTGTGGCATTTATGTTGTTCGGATATAAATTCGCGCATAAAAGAAATATTTAGACATAAATTTATGAACAAAAAATAGTTGTTTTGATATAAACAGTTGAATGGAATGTATATTGAACAATTCATTTATGTTCATAAGGTTATATCTGAAATTTAACTTTTATTTGAAAGTTTATATTCAAATGAAACAAATAGTGTATATTGCGATTTCTTAACGGATTTGATTAATTAAATTAATTAGATCCAATATGAAAAAATTAAAAGGGAATTTTCAACACAGTGGGACTGACAAAAAAAAAATATTACAAATACATGTGGGGTGCAAGTAAAAATTTGCACCCATTAAGATGTAATTCCCTCAAAATTAAAAGACAAAATTAATAAAATTAAAATTATATGGACCAAATTCACACAAATAGCTAATTGCAAAAAACATTGGTATAATTTATCTTTCTATTTATTTATTTATTTAATTTATTTACAGCTTAAGCAAATCCATAACACAACTTAACCAAATTCCCAACCATAACCATGGACTTTACCAAATTCCTAAGATGATATCATCATGTGTTCATAATATCATGTTATCACTGTATCACATTGAATGATTGCTTTTCTTAGCTCAGAGGAATATTATTATTATGTCATCAATGCATTATGCACATCAACATCATGTTCTCGACTTTATATCTTGTTTAATGGATACATTACTGTAATATATCTATTACATAAAATACCACCCCATTCACACCACTCGTTTTTATAGAATTTTCACAAAATTTCCCAAAGCCAGTTTCGTACCATTGACCACTTAAATACATTTCAAAGTAAAATTTGGACCGAATGTGATTGATGATGAAACAAGGTTACGTTATAGCCAAGTATAACCTTGACTTGCATTATAGCCATAGATGGCCTCTCATAGTCGTTTCATTGACTACAGAATTTTCCGACAGAGCAGTTGGGTTTGGTGAAAGTCAGTGATATTGGCATTTAGTTGCATAGGAAATTGGCGTGGGTTTTCAGAATTTTCTACCTTTCATTTTTTTTGGTTGTTGAAAAGTAATGTTACAATAATTATTTATTTAAAAATTTAGTTGTCAATATTGTATTGGAGATATACATGAGTGATGAATCCATTATGCTAATATTATATTAACAAATAAAATTATAAGTATAATATAGTTTAAAAATATGATAAGTGTAGTATTATTGTATTGTTAATGAGAAATCCCTAACCCTACCTTCCGTGAGATTAGGGTAAATCTCGGATATGTATGATCACCAACTAGCTAAGGTGAAAAAGACTCGAATTTAAGACCTCGTTGTTTACATGTAATCTTATCATTCAAGCTAACTTTCTTGAGTTTGAAAATTTTCAATTTTAAAATTTTTACAAAGAAAACAGAACAATAAAAAAATAAAAAAAATAAAAAAAAAAATTGCGTGAACCAAAGTGTTATTTACCAATCAATAATAGAGAGTAGTTTTACAAAAGAATTGAGAGAAATCCAACATAAAGAAGTCAGATTAGCCAAAACCCCAACAAGAAAGAACTGTGGATAACGGGTCGTGATGGGAAAACACAGGTCTTATCCCTGGTTTGTTTACACAAATGGTTACTAGGATAAGTAATCCAGAGCCGGGCTTATATCCCACCTACTTGGAGGGTAGGGGTTAGGATAACATAGGCCCGTTTGGTAAAGTTGTGGGAAAGTGATTATAGCTTATAGTTTAACAGCTTATACTGTGAATATAAGCTGATTTTTGACTTTTAAATTAAGCTTCTCCTCCCCCACTCAAAGAATAAATTGATTTTTGACTTACAAAAGGTTATAAATTGTATTGTTAAGCTGAACCAAACACATCAAAATAATTTAAATTAAGCTAAAAGCTGAAATAAGGTGTAAATAAGCCCTACCAAACAGGGCCATAGTCGGGAATTATCTATTGGAGGCAAAATTGTGAAATTGCCTTCCTTAGGATTCATTGTCCCAGCCTCTCAGGATTTAATTTTTGGGGATCAATTTGTTTTCTTGTTTCCCCTGAGGGGTGGGTTAAGTAGTTAGGGATCAGCCCAAAAATGCTGTCACCTGAGTTCGATCCTCCATCGCTTCTCAGCAGGCAATGTTTTAGTCCGGGACTGGGGACTCGCGAAACCTGTGCAACCCTTTTTTTTCCAACATCTCACAATTTGTTTTATTGTTTAATCCTATCACACATATTGAGCGTGCACAATGCCCATACTAGCTGCTGGTGTACACGTGATGCTCCTGTAAAAAATATGTAATTTATGAATAAAGAAGATGAATAAGAATTGATCATGTTTCTAGCGATTTAATAATCTGAATCAGTTAATACTTTCACAAGACAGTTTTGAAGTCACCAATTGTTAGGAGCATGTTAAAAATTGTGAAAAATTCACACCGAATGACATATAGGATATAGATACATACGTATCTTCTATGCACATAGTTAGGGAATGTTTGGGAGTATCAAAATGAATTGTTCACATGGTTTAAGGACATCTGCAAAATGGCAAAAGAAATGTGATTGAAAACATTCTTACAAACCATTCTTATTAATTTTAAAGTTACTCTTTAATCTTTTTTTTGTTATTCAGAAATAGTCTAAATCTATTTGCTGAAAAATTCAGTCATAAGGTAGTTGTACCTTGTCCTTTAATTTGCCACTTTTAGTTAAAGAAAATTATTTTATCTTATTATTAGTGTTTTTTTCAAGTGAATACAAGTGATGGTTGTATGCCATGCCATAATTTTTTACTTTACACTGATCAACTTGCACCTCTATGAAAATTACAATTATTTTGAAAGATATTCTTAATTTTCTTTCTTATACTTTCATTTCTACTAAACAAATCCTAGTTAGTAAGGGAGTTTGATCCTCTCCATACTGACCAGGGTTCGAATCTCTTACTACCTAAATGAAACTCTGACGGTTTAAGTGGATCGCCTAGCTTCCTTCAGTTTGACTCGTAAAGATCCTAAGGGTTCTGCCTTATGAGTGTTTTGGGAATCAAAAAAAAAAAAAAGAACAAAAAAGTCCATAGACCAAAGGATTTCAAAGCAGTAATATATGACTAGCTTGTTCAAGCAACTAAGCCTTGAATTAACCAGCGGTTTTTGCCTAGTGATTGTGTAGCATAATTTTGTAATGTGTTGTGAGTTCAACTTTTATGGAGAAGAATTTGATATTTGTGTTGTTTATTTCTTCTTCATTATGGGATTGTATGTGAAATAATAATTGGAGAAAGTGAGAGAAGATAGAGATGAGCGAATAGAGAGAGAGAGAGAGAGAGAGGCACAATTGTTTCTATAAATTGTATATATCCAATTACACAAAGAAGGCACTCTATTTATAGAGGATGCCTTGGATGCCTTGGATGATTGCCCACCGAAAGGTGCTACACTATGAACAATTAAATAATGATACACTAACATAATGCTACACTATGAACAATTAAATAATGATACACTAACATAATGCTACGCTACACTAACAAACACAATGATGATACACTAATATACACTAACAGTATGTAAATAATGGGTGATTTATTGGGTATTCCGGAAGTACAGTCACGTGGTGCTCTATGGTATTATGATTGGTAAAAAACGTGGGATATTATGATTTTGGGTTGGATGATTAAAAAACATGAGGGATATGGTGAATGATAATGATTGGTGAAAGAGTATGGATACGTGACACTTTGGAGTATCTAATAATTTTCCGTAAATAATAATAGTTGTTGGGTTTGAGTTTGGTGATTGGTTGTTGGGTTTGGTAATTATTGACTTTCTAGCTATTGTTAGTGATCTGTTTGATACATACTTCTCATATTTATAAATAATTTACTACCGATTTAACCAATTTTTTTTTTAAAAAAAAGCCTTTATGAGTTGACAATTATTGGCACCTTCCGTTGACTCCCAAGTCTTTTTCTACGAACATTTTGGAAAACTTATGGTGCAACTACAATATAAAAGGTGGCCATTCCATGGCTAAAACAACTCAGAAAACCAAAAACTGCAAATCCTTATTTCTTGGTGTATTTGCTACTTCATCTTGATATTAATTTTTGGTGCATCATCATGACCATGTTCATGAAAATGGTGATGCTTGAAAATTTTTCATCAATTTCTCCATGTGTTTGTCCTTGTTGTGCTTTTACTATGCATGAAACCTGCTCTTGGACTCTCCTCAAGAGTTGAAGAAGATGCTAAAACCAAATGCATAGAGAGGGAGAGACAAGCTCTCCTCCAGTTTAAAGATGCTCTTATAGATAATTATGGTATTCTCTCTTCTTGGGGGAGCGAAGAAGATAAAAAAGATTGTTGCAAATGGAGTGCAGTTGGGTGCAACAACCACACTGGTCATGTCACCATAATCGATCTTCATGGCTCGTACAATTATTCTCTCCATGAATATCAGCTACTGAGAGGTAAGATTAGTCCTTCATTGAGGAACCTTTCTAACTTGCAGTATCTTGATCTTCGCTACAATTATGGTCTAAGGTGCGAAAATCTTGAGTGGCTTTCTCATCTTTCTTTATTAAGTCACTTGGACCTTAGTGATGTTAATCTCAGCAAAGCAATCGACTGGGTTCAATCTATCAATAATCTCCCTCTCCTAAAAGAGTTAAGGTTATCTTATTGTACACTTCCTACTATCACTACTCATCCCTCACTTCATTTTAATTCTTCTGCGTCTCTTTCTATACTTGATCTGTCTCAAAATGATCTATCTTCTTCAATATACAGTTGGTTGTTCAACTTTAGTAGTAGCCTTATTGATATAGACCTTTATTATAACCAGTTAAAAGGTCCGATTCCTGATTCTTTTGGAGGCATGATTTCCCTAACAAATCTCAATCTTAGTTTCAATCATTTTGAAGGTGCCCTTCCAAAATCCTTTGCAAATTTAAGTCGTTTGCAATCCTTACATCTGGGTGGAAACAATTTAACTGAAGAACTTCATCAGTTCCTTCAAAAGTTGTCTGGGGCAGAGGACTCATTACAGGTTTTGGATGTGGATTACAATCAACTTAGTGGTCCATTGCCTGATTTTACAAGATTTTCTTCCTTAATGTTGTGTTTGGTTGAGGGATTTGAGGAGGGATTTGGAAAGGGAAATGGAAAAGGTAGGTGAAATATAAATAAAACATGCCTAAATTTCACATAGTTTCACACACCTTTTCCCTTTCCCTTTCCAAATCCCTCTCCAAATCCTCCAACCAAACACACCATAAAAGAATTGTCTGCTGCCTCTAATCAATTGAGTGGGTTTATTCCAGAAACTTTTAGACAGCTTCCTAGTCTTGTTTCTCTTCAGTTGTATGGAAACCAAATTATAGGGTCACTGCCTGACCTTTCAATGTTTCCATCAATGACGGAGTTAGACCTTCGAAACAATCAATTGAATGGTACTATACACAGAAATATTGGACAACTTTCCAAGCTTGAGTTTTTCGATGTCTCTTTCAATTCATTAAAAGTCATACTGTCTGAAACTCACTTTTCTAATATGTCCAGTCTGAAGCATTTGTCATTTTCTTCAAACACATTAACTTTTAATTTCAGTTCGGACTGGGTTCCTCCTTTCCAACTTGATGTCATATATTTATCATCTTGTAAGTTAGGGCCTCATTTTCCAAAATGGCTTCAAACACAAAATAACTTCGCTTGGCTTGATATCTCAAGTAATGGAATTTCAGATAATGTTCCTAGTTGGCTTTGGGATCTATCCCCAAGTTTAGGATATTTAAATCTCTGTAACAATCTAATCAAAGGCTTGTTGCCTGATCTATTATTGAAGTATCATGGTTATCTTAGTATAGATTTAAGTTCAAATCATTTTATGGGTCCAATACCACTAGTTCCTCCTAATGTAACACTTTTGAATCTCTCCAAAAATAAGTTCTCAGGTTCACTTTCTTTCTTATGTGCAATTAGGGGTACAGAGCTCACCTATCTTGACCTCTCAAATAACTCACTATCAGGAGAGCTTCCAAGCTGTTGGGTGCACCTCAAAGCACTATCCATCATTAATTTGGCAAACAATAATTTGTACGGGAAAATTCCGAGCTCAATGGGTTCCCTAGGCCAGATTGAAACTTTGCACTTGTGCAACAACAATTTCTCTGGGGAAGTTCCTTCTTCATTAAAGAGATGCACAAAGTTAATAATGATTGATCTGGAGGAAACAAACTCACAGGAAAAATACCAGCATGGATAGGAGCACACCTAACAAGTTTAATTGTTCTTAGTTTACGATTCAACAAGTTCAAGGGAAGCATACCTCGACATATATGTCACCCTAACCAAATTCAAATTTTGGACTTCTCCTATAATCGTTTATCAGGAAATATACCAAACTGTTTTCACAATTTTACTGCCTTGGTGGAAAGTAAAAGTTCTAGTATAACCATTTCTTCTTATTATGAGACATTTGATGGCTTTTATTATCAAGGTGGCAGCTATATTGAGAATGCATTGGTGCTATGGAAAGGACGAGTCAGAATACGAAAGTACTTTGGGACTACTAAAACGCATTGATCTTTCTAGCAATGAACTTGTTGGGAAAATTCCTTAACAAGTTGGGAGTCTTGCGGGGTTGGTTTCTTTGAACCTATCAAGAAACAATTTGACAGGAAATGTCATCCAAGAAGTTGGTCAGATGAAAATGTTGGAATCTCTTGACTTGTCTGCAAATGAGCTTTCTGGCGCGATTCCTACCAGCATTGCTGATCTAAATTTTCTCAGTGTGTTAAATTTTTCAAATAATAGGTTGTCAGGAAAAATTCCAATAAGCACTCAATTGCAAAGCTCTGATCCCTCTATATATTCAGGAAACCCTGAACTTTGTGGGCTTCCACTTCCAAAGTGTCCAGGAGAAGAAATAGTTGTAGAACCTCCAGTTCTTGTTCGTGGCAACGACAAAAGGATTCAAGAAGACGATGACAAGTTTATTACCACTGGATTTTATGTTAGTATGGGGCTGGGTTTCACCTTTGGATTTTGGACAGTTTTTGGCACTATGATTTTTGACAAACCATCTAGACATGCTTATTTCAAGTTCTTGGACTGCATAAAGAATTGGTTTTATGTGACAACTGCAATGAGTATGGCTAGATTGGGAAGGAGGCTTCAGAGGTAAATGGTAAGTATCTTTTTTTAATTTTGTTACTTCTCTTCTCTTTTTGTGTCTTGATCATTGCTAACAAGTTAGACATTTTTTATTTTATTTTATTTGAAATCCTATATAAGCTGATTTAAGCACAGTACACTTGCTATTTGCTTGAGTTTGTGGTTTTACTTAGGTCTATTTTCTAATTGACCTACACATGTGCAGGTCTAGTTTGAAAGCTATCTTCAGCTCATTGCTGCCAAGATCTATCTATTATGGTAATTTCTATTGCCACCCTAATTTTTAACCAAGCAATTGCTTGACATCCACTATCTGTTTACTTGTCATTGATAAATAAAATGATCCAAAAATTAGCTTTACCTTCTGATCCGTCTTTGTTTAATTGTATCCAAATTCTATTCCTCCATACATTTTTTTTTTCCTTTTCTTACAGAAGTCATTCACTCGTACTATAATTTTGTAAAACTGATCTTGTAATAGCAGTGATGATGTGCTCTGCCATTGCAAACATAAACAAAAACACTAAAGTTGTGCCATATTTATGCGATGTACTGAATTAATCCTCTATTTACAAACTATATTGATGGCTGCCCAATATTTAGTTTTAGGTTTTTTTTTCTTTTTTTTTAAATCGGCGAAAGTCAGTTGACTTTAATTTAACTGATAATCACATTGTTATTTTTTTTTGTGGTTTCCATTATTTTTGCTATGTTTTCCAAGGAAGCTGGGCTACAGTTGAGAGAGACACGAGCATCGAGTTCAGAGCTATCAGCACCAACTGTTACTAGGCCCTCTATGTATTTCTTGAAATGATAAAATAACTTCATAAATATTTATTTTCATGTGTAATTATATTGTGGATTGTGTGTTTGGAAGAATTGCAATCTGTTTTTGCTTAACAAATGCTTGGTTTATTACAAGTCTAGTTAATTTTGTAAATTATTGGGCATGATTATTTACTCATGACCTGCTTATTCTATGAAAATATGACTTCTGTCTGAGACTTCTGTCTGAGACTTCTGTTTAGAGGAATTTTTTCTGCTTTCAAGAATCTCTTGACAAGTCTGCAAATGAGTTTTCTAGGCAAGATTCCTACCAGTCTTGTTGATTTAAATTTTCTCAGTGTGTTGAATTTATCAAATAACAAATTGTCAAGAAAAATCCCATCAAGCACTCAATTGCAAAGTTTTGATGCCTCTGCATATTGGGAATCTTGAATTATGTGAGCTTCCACTTCCAAATAAGTGTCGGGGAGATGAAATAATTGTGGAATCTCATGGCAAAGACAAAAGGATTGAAGAAGAAGACAACGAGGACAAGTTTATTATCCTTGGATTTTATGTTAGCATGGGGCTTGGTTTTACCTTTGGATTTTGGGCAGTTTTGGGGCATTATGATTTTTAACAATCCATTAGACATGCTTATTTTAAGTTTTTGGATTGCATAAAGAATTGATTTTATGTGACAACTGCATTTTTTTTAAGTGACAACTGCATTGAATATGGCTAGACTGCAAAGGAGGCATTAGTGGTATCGGTAAGTATTTTTTTTTCCCTTCAATTTTGTTACTTTTTTGTGTCATGATCCTTCCTTCTTTTTTTTTTCTTTTTTTCTTTTTTCTTTCTTCTCATTTCAAATCTTACATAAGATGTATCGCTGGATTTCGTAATTCATGGGTAGGGTCTATGTTGGAAGCTACCTTCAGCTCATTGGTCCAAAGATCTATCTGTCTGGTAACTTTTATTTCCATCCCAATTTCTAGCCAATTCAAGTCCTATATAGAAGTCATTTATTAGTATTTTTGCTTTTTTTTTTTTACTTTTTTTTATGATACAATTTGGTTTTAATTTTCTGAATTCAATTTTTTTTTTAAATTAAGTTTTTTTATTTTTCATTTTTTTGTTTTTAGTGAATATTTTTAAAATTTTAAGCAATTTTTGTACTTTTTTAGATGCACCTTACGTAGATATATCTAAAAAGTAAAATATTTGTAAAAAATATTTTAAAAAATCAATAAATGCACAAGAATATAAACATGTATTGAATTCTCATTTTTTTTTTATATATATATTTTTGGTATTTAGTGAATTTTCTAAAGTTTTTTTCACAAATATTATATTTTTTAAGTGTATTTATGTTAGGTATATCTAAAAATTAAAAAAATTGCTTAGAATATTAAAAAAAAAATTAGTGAAAACAAAAAAATACAAAAAATAAAAAATTTCAATTTTCTAAAAAGTGAATACTGAAAATCCAAACCAAACAAGCTGGGTAAATATTTTTGGCAAATGCTAAAAAAAAATTGGGTGAATTACACTAACCTCCCTTCATAATTACAAAGACCTCCCTCCAGGTTTCTAAAATGACAATAACCTACCCAGTCAGTCACATTTGACAAACTCTGTTAATAGAAATGTATTTTTACATTTTTACCCTCATCTATTTATTTAATTTTAGTGTAAAAAGCCAAAAATTGACAAGATCTTGCAGTAAACATTTGTAACATTTGATCCTATCCTCTTATGCTTATCTCCTTCACTTTAACTCTGCTTTCACCCGGCTACAAAAGCAGCACCACCGCACCCTCAAAAACACCATTACTGCTAGCCCCAAACCACAGCACCAACCAACTCCACGCCCCATCAGCACCATAACCACCCAAGCCCCAACACTGCTACACAACCTCACCCCCTAATCCCACCACCAACACCAACACAAGCCTCACAGCCCACGACCTAAAATCCTAAAAAACCTATCACCAAAAATCAACAACACCCTCAAATCATGGCAAAAATCAATTAAAGAAACTCTTGCAACTATTGGCAGTGTTTAGCAACTTGGTTTTTGGTTTTTTTTATTTTTTTCACTACAAGACAAATGTTTTACAAAACCAAAAAAAAAAAAAAAAAAAAAAAATCTTACCGATTACCACTAAAGCCTTCTTTACAATCTAATCATATTAAATGCAGTCGCAAATAAAAAAAAAAAAAATGCAATTGTCATGTAAAACCAACTCTTTATGCGATTCAAGAACTTGAAATAAGCATGTCTTGACGGATTGTTAAAAATCATAATGCCCAAAAACTGCCCAAATCCAAAGGTAAAACCAAGCCCCACACTAACATAAAATCCATGGTTAATAAACTTGTCCTCCTTGTTTTCTTCTTCAATGCTTTTGTCTTTGCCATGAGATTTCACAACTATTTCGTCTCCCCAACACTTACTTGGAAGTGGAAGCTCACATAGTTCAGAATTCCCAGAATATGCAGAGGCATCGAAACTTTGCAATTGAGTGCTTGTTGGGATTTTTCTCGACAACTTGTTATTTGACAAATTCAATACACTGAGAAATTTAAATCAGCAAGACTAGTAGGAATCATGCTTAGAAAACTCATTTGTAGACAAGTCAAGAGATTCTTGAAAGTAGAACAAGTTCCTCTAACAAAAGTCTCACATAAAAGCCATATTTTCATACAACAAGCGGGTCACGAGTAAATAATAATGCCCAATAATTTACAAAATTAACTATATATTTGTAATAAAACAAACATTTGATAGCAAAAAAAATTGCAATCCTTCCAAACACACAATCCACAATATAATTACGCATGAAAACAAATATTTATGAAGTTATTTTATCATTTCAAGAAATACATAGAGGGCCTAGTAACAGTTGGTGCTGATAGCTCTGAACTCGATGATTGTGTCTCTCCCAAATGTAGCCCAGCTTCCTAGGAAAACATAGCCAAAAAAAATGGAAAAAAGTGTTTGGTTTGAGTTTTTTGAATTAAGTTTTTTGAAAATTGAGTTTTTTGGTTTTCGTATTTTTTGTTTTTAGTGAATATTTTTAAAATTTTAAACATTTTTTTTCTTTTTTAGATGTACCTTACTTAGAAATATCTAAAAAGTAAAAAATTTGTGAAAAAATAATTTAAAAAATTAATAAATATATAAAAATACAAAAAATGTACTAAATTCTCGTATTTGTTTTGTATTTTTGGTTTTTAGTGAATTTTTAAAAGGTTTTTCACAAATTTTTTTACTTTTTAGGTATATTTATGTTAGGTATGTCTAAAAAGTAAAAAAAA